TCAAAATGGTCATGTCATGTCTAAAATTACTGGGAAGTAGGTATTAATCCAAATTAATCCCTATTAATTATTGAATTAAGACTTTTTATCTTTGTATTACCTTATTTAAATGTATTCCTCAGCATATTGCAAAATACAGCATATACTGAACACTGTCAGACACAGTTGTTTGTTTCTTAGTTGCAGTCAAAATCACTGCAATTTGTTCTTTCATTTGTTCGCATTTCATCAAGAGAACCAGATCCACTGAAATGGAGATATATGCTCTGAAGAGTTTGAATTGAAAGGGCAAGTCTGAATTGATCTTAAAAGCACTAGAGAACCTAACATTAGACTGGGGTATGCCTATCTGCCCTGGTGGTATGTGGAAGATTTACTATATGTCAGCAGGTGTGCTTTTGAACACTCTTAAAATGCTCTCATGTTGTCAATTTTAAACTGCACTTTAATATGGGAGAACAGTCTACAGTGCTTTCATGGCTATTTGGAAAGGGTAGCAGTATTTCTTCTGTGCGGGAGAGAAATTTCCACTCTGGCATAAAAATTAGGGTGACGCAAAGTGTTCGGATAAATCTCATACAATAATTGCATGTATCAGTTCACAGTTTTAAAAATGGTTCACAAGCAGAAGATATCTAACTGAAAAGCATTTATGTCTTCTTCTACTTATAAAAACATCTCCCCTTTGCTGAAAAACTGAGAAATCTCAACTACTTGATAAAGAGGATAAATAGGTGCTGTACAATTATGTGGGTATTAAACAAGTAGTGGTACAGATGAAATGAAAGACTTGAGCTAAGACTAATTCACTCCTCTTTAAATGTCAGTGTTGTCTTGATCTGATAAAATCTCTCTTTAAACCCCAGCCTCCTTCGGGATTTAATTTCTCTTCTTCGTCTGTTTCATTATCGCCTAGGGCGAACAGCTCAGTTTGTCTTTCACCTCATGGGCTCCCTGTTCCCTCCGCCCATCTTTATTATCCCTTTAAAGCATAACTGTAGGGTAAAAAGAATTATGTCTGGACCCTCCAGAAAAGGTTTCTTTTCCAAAGACAGGCAGTGGATTCTGTGGTTACATGATCATACTCTTAAATCCACAAATGAAGTGTTTAATGGCCTTTAAACACATTCACATTCTTTGAAAATGTGGATCAAATAGATTTCAGATATCAGAGTTACGCTTTGTAGTGGCATCCATTGCATAATTATCACTATTTTTGATGCTGTGTTGATTTTTTCCTGTACCTTATTCTTAATGTTAAAGTCTTGTTGAAGTTAAAGAGCAGAATAAAATTGATATAAGTAAAAAAAAAAGTTCATTTTTAACAAAGGATAAGCACCAACAACACATGTCTAACTCAAAATGGGATATATTAAATTAACACATTGTATTTCGGTCATTCAAATACTACTGTTTTTGTTATGTGCTAGTCTAGAACAGCCAGTAGCTAAAATACGTCAGAGGTCAGAATGCTTTGTGTACTGTCCAGTACTGGTGTGGCAGTTGTATGGAATAATTCTGTTTCTGCTCACCACAGACCGTAAAGCTTGTCAAGGCTGATTGGAACTTACAGTACTTGCAAATCCTAGTGGACATAGACCTGAACCCCAATGAAACATTCAACTTTCAACAGAACAATGACCTAAAGCATAGGCGTTATAACAAGGCATTATACTGGATCATCTTAACAATAAGAAAATGAATGTCTTTGAGTGACCCAGTCAATGCCCTGACTTGAATTCTATTGAATTTGCAGAAAGACTTGAAAACCTCTGTCCATAAGCAATTCCCAAACAGTGTGAGACAGCTTGAAAAATGTGCCGAAGCAAATGGGCAAAATTTGCACCAAGGTAGAAAACCAGCAAAAAAAGATGGCTGTAATTTTTTTGCTCCCAAATATTGAGTTCATGGGTCTGAATACTTACAGTATGTAATCAACATATTATTATTATTACTTGCTGACACTTAATGTAATTTATCTTATACTTAGAAGTATAGATGGAGCATTAAAGTTTTAAATCATATGATTCATACTAAATCCTAATTAAAAACCTATGTATGGACCATTTTGCAATTTCAGGAAAAGGGACACCATAGGATGGTGTCTGGATAGAAAATATAGACAAAATATAAAATAATAATCAAATGGGAAGAAGGGTGGAAACCACACATGGCACTCTAGAGGCCCAAGTTTCACTGGCTAGGCTTCAACTACAGTATATACTGTAGGTTTTTCTTGATTTGCTGTACAACAGTGACCAAACACAGCTGCATCACTCCTCCTGTCTAACTGATTTTATCGTGGAGGAGACAAGTATAGAAATTAAAATAATAAATGGCAATTCCAAGTGTAAAGAAAAACAAGATTTTGGCACATGCAAAGTTCAAATGCAAGGTTTTATTTAATATCACATGTAAAACATGTTTAAATATATGCAAATCCTTGACTGCTTGACTGTCTTTTATGTAAATCTATTGCTCCTGCAAGCACCATTCTCTATTTGTGTTACTATCTGTGTGCTTATCAGTAGATCAAGCGATTATCAGGCACCCTAGCAGTGACGGGATCACCAGATTTTCAAAAAAGATGTTTAAATCCAGATTTGTCATAGTAGGTCATTATTGTACATTTTGATAGCCTTGTGTATTTGAGTATTTATGTTTATAGCACTCATTCCTACTGTATCTAAAACTGCCCCAATATTTTGCATGTTTGAAAAATATTTATTTTCATTTTAGCAATGCTGTCTACCTTACAACTTATTTTTGGGTGGGAAAAGTGTCATGGTGCACAACACAGTCCAGCACTTAGATTTCTTCCATGTATTGCAGTCATGGAACCCTGCCAGAATACGCCAAAGTTGACAAATGCAATTTGATTAAAGGGAGGTTCCTTTTCAAAGCACCTATCGTATTGAACTCATCCTTCTTTTCGTCCCAAAGAAAACCTCTTCTGGTTATCTTGGCACATGTAATGCTGTTAAAAAGTGCATCAAGTCTTGCACTGCTTGTTTTAAAAGGGTCAGATGACATTGTTTAATTGGGCTTAACCACTGACTAATAAACCATTTCTTTGTTTCTGTTTTATCCTGCAGTGTCTTCAGCTTCTCTCGCAGTGATCCCTGTCCCCTAGAGGAAAGCTTTATCTAGTGAGACAATATTGCCTCAGAGGCCCCCTTCAGACTGCTGGCTGTTCTTTCCAGCAGTGAATAAGGACAATGAAATCTAATACCCATGCCCAGTAAATATTTTTTCTTTTCCTTTTACCTCTCACCTACAGTTTTTATTACCTCTGGAATTAATTTCTGCCTTTTCAGTATACACTGCCGCAAACACACTATTATGTAAATGTACAGTATAGAGCACTGTGCAAAGGTAGTGTGTAAACACAATCAAAAATTCATCAACGCACCCAGTCATATTTTCTACTATTAGAACAACTTTGAGTCTTAGGAATACACCGTTTACAGTTTAGGTGAGAAGAAACAAAGCTTCTCATTTAACAATTTCGAACTCTCATTGTCCAGAAACATAATCATAGCAACTCATGGTAACTTATACACGTGTAGGCAGTATAAAGTGCTGTAGAAGCTCATCCAGAATGTCACAATCAAAGTTCATTGATTCATCATTGGCTCCTTAGGATTAATATCAATTTGATACTTTCCTACATGCCTTAAAGTTCTGTTCTTATTGTACTTCTTTTGTATTTCTCCATAATCCCCTCAGTGATCAGACAAATCGAATAAAATGTGTTAAGACATGTCTTGTCAAAGGCTTCTGTATATTTCCTCTTAACATATGGACTATGCAATAATTAAGTTTTAAAGGCTACTTTTGTGAATCTGTTTCATTTGGCAGAGCTTCTTTCAAGAATGTCTGCTGAGTCTCGGCTTTCTCTTTGCTGGAAATAGCTGGCATTGTACTGTGATTTGAAATAAATATTTCAGTAATTGTTTGCATTATCCACCAAAAGGCTACAGAAAGGTATGTTGTTGTGACTATTATGTTTATCACACTCTTTTTTAACAATGTCAGATCTATATCTTCCTATTCCTCTCATTTATTTTTCCTGGATCTCCAGTTTGTCTTCAGGTTAGAGTTTTTTTCCTGTGAAATAAAAGAAATCCCTATTTTTTCTGAGTGAACTGTTGAGGACATACTGTACAGTACACGTATAACAAAAGTGTCTGCAAATTAACTTAAGACCAAAACACAAAGTCCTCACCTATATTCTATAAACCCTTCATGTAGCATTTATAATTTGTGATGGATCCCCAAGGCCATGGAGATGAAATTGTATGTGTTCTGAACGAATGTTCCAGTGTGTAGCGGTCCATGTGTAGTAAGATATTTTGTACTGTAGTTTGCTGTATGCAATGCCTACTCAGCTTTTTAAGATGTGATTTTGTCTAAAAGAGAAACACACATTAAGGTAACTGGGGTTACATTTAAAGAACTGCATACTTAGTAGGAGGTTTTTAAAGTTTCTATCCTGGAAAGAATAGGAAAACATTATTAAACAAAGTTTTTTTTTAATCATGATAAAGCTTGCTTTAGCCATGCCATGAATATTGTTTGCTCTTTTTAAAATCTGAATTGTCAGGAAGCATAGGCCTGTAAGACTCAGTGTGAAAATGTAAATATGAAACCATTGCACACGCCTACAGTATGAATTCTAACATCTAAATGTTAGACTGACTCTCAAGTGGGTTTCTCCAGACAGGGAATGCTGCTATGTTAAAGAAATGTGATTTTACCTGCTTACAGTTTACCCAATAATAGCAAATCCCTAATGGTTCTTCATGTTTATAGCATAATCAAATGCCCTGTTGATCTACTGAGAGTCCTTGACAAGTTCATTTGATACTAGAGCGGTCCTGTTTGGTTCTGTGGGACAGCAATACAGAACAGACTGGCTGGCTTTATATTTATTCTTTTGTACTTGTGACAAATGAATCCTCATTAACAAGCATTAACAAGCATTAACAAGCACTTACTTCCTTCTCTTTTAGCATTCCATACCCTCACATCCTTGAAGATTGTTTTTCTCCACAGATCCCAATTAACCATTAAAGATATTTCATGTGGCCTTTGCAGTTCTGACTAGTTGCTGTATACCTGTGAGCTAGCAGAGACCAGCAAAGAGTTGGAACAAGTAGTTCAATGTTGTGTCCATTTCTGCTACTCCTTAACTGTCACTACAAAAAGAAAGCAAACTGCTCACCCAGAAAGACCGCAAAACAGGAAATAATCTGATAACAGACACTTTCTGAACATTCTGGCAAGAGGGGTGTTTGTTGTTGAAGCTCTAGATATTTTTTCCTGTTTTTTGTTAGAACATGTCTCCTATTTATGCTGAGTAACAAACCTACAGAAATGAGGTTAAAAAGTAGGAAAAAGACGGCCAGGCTATAAGCATTTAATGCATTCACATGTACAAGTATTAGCAATATTGAGTTGAAGACATGTGATATGGGGCTCACTTAAAAAAATATAACCAGAAAATATCCAAACATATCAATGTGATCATTTCAAACTGTTAGGAGATGATGTATCAAACTATTAATTTTGCCATGATGCACATATATATCATACACAAATAGCCAGGGCTAGGACTTGGGGTGTAACCCTGGTTTTCTGGCCAGATTTACCAGTCATGACCTCTTAATTCTCATATTTAAATTGGCTTCATTACTTCATTATAGTGAGCGTACTGACGCACTTTGGCTGCTGTTACATCATCCCATTGGGTGCTGCACATTGGTGGTTATGGAGGGGAGTTCCCTTTTGCTGTAAAGAACTTTGAGTGGAGTGTCCAGAAAAGCACTATATAAGTGTAAGGATGATTTATTTTAGCTACAAGGACAATTTGACAAGCCTGGGTTATACAGTGGCTTTTACTTTGGTTATATTTGTTTATTACCAGCAGATACCAATTTAAAAAAGATGTGAATATCAATTTGTTTACAAAATAAGACTGGGTTAGACATATGCTGGCATATGACATATTCATCTGGTTCCTTTATTATCTTAGATGGCTTTAACACTACGATTTAAGTTCAGTTTTCTGTCTGTGACAGGTTAAAGGCTGTATACAGTACACTGCACAGAAGAACAATGAAAAGATGTTCAGCAAGACAGAAAACACAGAATACATGTGACTGTTTGCTTTAGAAGACAATTATCAACTGACTTCTTGTTAATTCCATTTTTATGCTTATTTTTAACACTTCTGTACCCAATAGTGAGTGCTTATTGTTTAGGCATAAGCTTTAAAGAGCAAAGTTTGAAAATTGAATTATTTTGTGGGGGAAATGTTTTTAGGATTTTGAAGTAAAGACATCACTTTGTTGAGAGGGAAGAGAATAGAGACTGGGGTTTCTGAATCTCCTTGTAATTTGCCATGGGTAGAGCCTTTTACAGACAATGAATGTTAAAATACCAGGAACCCAACCTACAGTACGTGTTGTAGAATACAATGGGTACTTCAGACTTGCGTGGCTTTCTGGTTAACAAATGGTGCTTTTGTCGACAGCCAAGGACTTTCCTGTTGGCTCGCAAAGCTTACAATGTGCACTTAACCAGGTGCTTATTATTCTGTATGTTTATTCAAGGCTTTTCTGCGGCGGTGGTGTGGTGGAGCATTTGTTCCTCATTGTACTCTACACAGCTGTGTTACCCAGCCTGAGAAACACTATAGAGCACCTACAGATGAATAGGTGGGATTACGATGCAGGATACCATGCAATTACAGGCTGAGCTTCAGAAAGGAGCTAATTAGGAAACTAATGATGGAACAGGAAACTATAGGCTAGGTCTTGTGGCAACCTGGTAAACTGCCCGTATTGTATATCCCAACTGAGTTGTCAGTAACAGCAAGTGATGGTACGTAGCTAGATGTACTGAGTCACATTCATCAACTCATACAGTTTGATAACAATACAGTACCTCAGTCTTATTTCAATGCTTTCTTCAATTCCCAGCTGTGAAAAGAGACATTCTTCTCAATACTTTCTCAATGTGCTGGAGGTCATTTCCCCACAGTTCCACATTAGAGCTGCAGTTTCCCAAGGTGTCAGTATGACAAGATGAAAGGATAGGTTCAGGTTTCAAATTGAGTCAGATAATTGATGAATTTAATAAGCATTGTATTAATATGTGTTTACTCATCATGGGTGTGCTCATTTGGCAATTACATTTAACAAAACTATACAAGAAAAGGTTTTGTTCTGAAAACTTTCATCAGACACACAGCAGGACTTTCACTTTCTCAACTAACATTTATGATGTTTACAGAATTCTATAAAAACTTCAAAACTTTCTGGTAGAATGATAACTATGTGGTTGTCTGGTAGATCTCTTCTCCCAATTGGTTCTGTGGACTCTTAAATACATAATGATAATGAAAGCTTTGAATGAATGACCTTTTCAAAATGAATTTCAGTTAATTTAATGTTTTTGACTCACGGTGGGAGTTATTTTAGGGAATTTTAAAAATGCTGCACCCCCTGTCCTGTGTCCTTTTAAGTGACACAGTTTCCCATAGAGTGAACCAAGTCTGACATAGTCTGACATAGATTTCAAAAGAGTTGAGTGTACTTCATGAGTCAGATCAAAACATAATGGTTACTTACACACAATACAAGCTACCTCAACTTTCAAAGCCACTGTCATTGCCGAGAACAGAGACAGAGAAAAAAAGAAAACAAAGATATCAATTTCATTTTGTGACAGGTATGCTTGAAAGCCTTCTGTTCCCTGTAAAAGCAGCTCCTGATACAAAATTGTTTCACTCAAAATGTTTTTTTTTACTGTTTAATGATGTATGGTCTAATTACTATTCATACAACCCAAGGCCATGAAAAGTTCAGTTGTCTAAATGGTGCTGAATATCTTCTTAATACATATGAAAACAAAAAGTCAGATGCAAGACATGGTATCCTAGTAAAAAAGGATTTATCAGTTGAAATTGATCACAGCTGCATCAACGTTAAGACCATTCATCCAAGGCTCAGGTGAAAGCTGTTAATACCTGCACTATTTGCTGTCACTGTAATTAACAGTTTAAAGTATTACTGCATGAAAAATACCATTTACTGAGTTTAGTCAAATTGTTAGCCAGACTTTAACCTTTACAAACCATCACAATGTTAAAACATTTAACAATAATGCTCAGAACTATGTTAACATTTACATTTTGATTTCCATGGCTTTCACAGCATATCTAAATGTGAAAATCCTAGTAGAAAAATTCTTCATGCCAATACGTGTATAAAGACATGCAAACTAAGAGTGTTCCAATTTTAACTTGTGCATGTACTGTAATATGTATCCACTTTTGGATTGAAATCTGGCAATTGACGTGACAGTCTAAAGTTTTCGATGTTTTTCCCTGATGAAAACCTTTATAATACTAAAGAAGTATTATAAAGCCTCACACCTGAAGCCTCACACCTGAAAAAGGCTCCACGGCCGAAACGTTGTGTTCTCTTTCTTCTTTTTTTCAGCATGGAATAAACCTACTGTATTACAGTACTTGTTCCTTTGCAGCCTACGCATGCTGATGCAGCTACCCACCTGAACTACTACAAACTAAGAGTATAATACTTCTTTAGTATTATAAAGGTTTTCATCAGGAAAAAACATCGAAAGCTTTAGACTGTCACGTCAATTGCCAGATTTCAATCCAAAAGTGGATACATATTACATGCACAAGTTAAAATTGGAACACTCCAAGAGTACGCAACTCTTGACTGCAGCAAAGCATCCCAAAAGGTTGCATAACGAGTTTGGTGAGTGCAATGGACTTCATGCATTTATTTCCGGAAAGGGATACGCAACTAAATTAAAAAATGTTTATAATATGAAATTTATTTAAAGTTTCCAAGTACTTAAAATCACTCAAATCTCTGAGATAAGCATAGGGTACAGTATATTCTAACATGGTCAAATGTATGGATTGAATAACCCAAATAATAAATTCTAATGTAGATGTTTTCTTAAAGGAACTATTATTAAGCAACAAAACCAAGCTCGTTGTTGTGGATTTACACCAGATCCGAAAAACTGGAAGTTGTGATCCCAGTTCAGCCCTTTTTAACAATGGAATCCATCTAGCGTGGCAAACATTTAGTTTTCAGCAGTGGAAATCGCAAGAGGTCAAATCCTATCCACAAAGTTCCTCAAGAAATGACTCTTCATTCTCAAATCCTAAACACAATACGGAAGTGATGCTGTGATTGTGTACTTTAATGAGTATGAATTTCCAGATTTAGATTTCAGTCTGTATAAATGAAGATATGGACAAAACCATTTTTTAAAGTAGCATGAATGCCATTTTTAATAAATGCCTTGTTTTTATGCATTTTAGCATTTGGATATGGAATGAAATGGCTAAATAATCTTATATGTTAAACCAACTAAAAAAAACTGACTGCACGAGTGTCTAAGAATGTAAGGAAATACTGGTAACATTTGTTTTTAAATTAATATTTTATGTTTACTAACTTTGTGCATAGCTGTGCAATACAAAAATAACAACAATTTAGGATTGACAGACGTTAGCTGACGGTTTAAAAAATGTGTGTCTGTGTACAGTAGCTTCGAACTGGACATCTTCCCACTCCTTCGAAATCTGAGCTTAGACATGTAACTGAAAACGTTCTGTGAAATTTACACCTCACTGTAGAATGCAGCCTTTGAACAATCTGAGCAAACAACTATTTCAGCTCCACTTAATTTCCCACTCAAGCCCTTGGGACCTGCTTACCAGTTATACTCATCCTGTCACTCCCATGTACTTTACCAGTAATTTATTGCTTAGTATAGCTTCATTTGGTGGTGTTCCCATTGCCAGCACTTAGTCCTCAATGTCTGCATCATGTAACCTGTTTTCCTTTATTGTGAGAGTGCTCTCTTTGCAGCTCTTTTAGAAATATGTTAATGCACAGATATAAATACTCATTTGTAAACTTGAAGGTTTTCTAACAAAAATCATCAACAGTGATTTAAAAAAGGTTTTACATCATAAATGCTAAAATGCCAAAAAAAAACTTTACTTATCTATAGATATTGACTTGACTATTTAAAAACTTTAAATTCAGTTAAAACTTTTTTTTTTGCTTTCTTTATATACCTGTACTTCATCGCTGATAGTGTGGATTACAATACTATC